AGCTGCGGGAGAGCGAGGACAAACCCGCGTTGAGCCGCACTCTTCCCTGTGCATCAATGTTACAAAGTGGTCATCAGAGAGTCTGCGGCCCAGAACTCCCCAGCAGGCTTCAGGGATAGATTCGATGCCTCGCTACGAGCTTGAAACTCCGAGGCCACGCCGTTCAATTGGTGAAGACCAAGCAGAGTGGGGGCGCATATACAACGATGGGCTTGCCGCAGACAGGATAACATAATGTTCAGCATTGCGGGACAAAGTTTGGTTGTTCCAGGCGTCCACGCATTGAGCAGCAGAAGCCTTGAGCCATAACATGATATACTGTGCTGTACTATACTGTGTTATGCTGTACAATACTGTATTGTGCTGTACTATAATACGATCGAATATACTCTAATGTAACATAACGTAGTACCACACAACGTAACATAATGTAGCATTGTGTATTGTAATGTCATGTCATGTCATGTAATATGATGTAGAATGACGTAACGTCGCCCTCGTGCATACAAGACCAACAACAACACAGGTCGGAAAACTTGTTGCAGTATCCCCTTGCCGGTGTCATACAGTTCGCGACAGCTCTGTGCGAGTATGAAGGCCGCATATCTGCGAAGCGAGGACCTTGCCAGAAAGGAGGCCACCATCGAGACCAAGAAGCAGGAGGACAAGCGGACTCGTACGAACGAACCTGTTATCTCGGTGGCTAAAGGCGGACTGTGGTTTAAGGTTTATATACGTAATATCGGGTTTATTCTCGGAGCCTATGCCCTAGGTGCTTTCATCTATCTGCAGCTACAGTCTGCTGGTGTATGTAAGCATCCGCTGGAATCCTGCGCAAAGGACCTGCAGAAGAGACGGAGTCAGCCGGGCCCCAAGGTGCAGGGAAAGGCCGTGATCTGCTTGACGGTGTGAGCAGATGTGGGCAGAGCATGGCAAGCAAAAGGCTTGATTCTTGGCCACTGCCACAGGGCTTCAACCCGGTTGCTGCATCGCGTGGCTGCAGTTGTTGGTTCTTCGCTTGTCCCGCACTGCAGTAAGCACCTGCCGCCCTACCGCAGACCTTCAAGGTACAGGCAAGAACTGGTGGACCAGATGGTCGTGCGCCAGGCCACGAGCGAGGAATGCCTGGGTGGTTTCCGCATGTCACAAGCATTGCTGTTTGATCGTCATGTTTCGACTTGAGCGAACCTGAACCGAAAGTCTACGAACTTCATGCATCGGTGACAGCGCAGCAGTGTCGTGGTTGCAGGCTGTATTGTGCGGTGTCGTAGACATGTTGTGGCAGGAGCCGTGGATGTCTTGCGAGTACAGGTTGTCACAGGAACTGGTTACGTAAGTGAAGCTAAGAAATCGTACACGTACGGTAGGAAGACTGTGGCCGCGGTACGCGCGGTGTTCTCGACATGCCAGTGTACGAAGCAGTGTGGGGATGGTTTTCGCGTGTCCACATTCGGATTTCATGTTTTAACGCAGGCCTGCGAAGTTGGTGTCGGAAGTGTGAGGCGTAGAAGTATGGGTGTCCACGGTGTCTACTACACTCTCGGATCTGCGCCTCAGTCAGCTTCTGGCGGCCAGGCGGGCAAGCTACATGGCCAAATGGTCCGGGAAGATGCCATGAGCTCCTGGGCAACATGCAGCCCCCCCCAACCTTGGCCAACCCGGCACTACAACCTCTCAAAAAGTTGCAAATTCTGCTGCTGCGCCAGCAAAGCGAGTGATAGACATGAGGAACTCTTCGTTTCAGAAGGCTTGCTTTGGCATGTGGCTTGCAATAGTCGCTTGTGCTGGAGCCATGAGACAATTAGTCCCGCTTGCATATCCAAACCAGGAGTGTTGCAATCGGCGTATATAGCCTGTGCGCAGAAGACGCGAGGGACAGTTCAAGCCAGATTGAACTTATATTTTCATTGCCGAGAGCGGGTGCGGAGTGTTTGAAGCTGGCATCACATCTTCAAACGAGGCAAGGCGAGGTAACGAATGTGATGGTGCTTGTTTCGGCGGAGGTCAGGCGAAATACAATACAACCTGTTCTAACACGATACAAGGTAGTAGACTATGGCACAATACAAGATAGTATCATGTACTACATTGTAGTGATACCATAATGATAAAAGCAGATCATTATATGCAGCTTCAAGAAGCCGGGACCCGGATCCCTCGACTGGAGCCGGGGAGCTTGCAATCTAGGGGGGCCTTCATGGTTACCTATACTATGTTGGGGGCTCCATGTTTTAACTATAGCCTTATGAACGTGCTGACCGTGTGAAGAAGAAGAGTCTACCACGTGCTGGCTCCAATTAAACGCTCAAATATGTTTCAACTAATAGTCGTTCCTCATGAACAAGCTTGAGGGCGGAGCCGGTAGAGGCGCTGCAGACCGGATGCAAAAATATATAGCCTTATTATGGGTCCCAAAAACCTATTCAAACAATTAAGGCCCCTATATTAGCTTTCCTCCAAGGTGAGATGGAGATCGCCCTCAACAAGGCTTGCTGTCACCACGGCTGAGCTTTCCGCTATCATCGTCATCAGTTTGCTCATCGTCGTAGCCACAAGCATCCCATTCCTTAGGACCTTAGGGTACTCAAGATGTCCAGAAACAGCAGCAACAGCGGCAACATCATCGTGTTCATCCTCGCCATCAGTCATCACAGACAAGCTCCAACTATCCTACGCAATCCTTTGCTTCTGCAGCTTCTTCGTCCTCGTCCTCATCATCTTCTCAGCCGCCGGCGCCTCCTCCTCCTCCACCTCCTCCTTCTCCTTCCCTGCTCCTCCTCCTCCTCCTCCTCCTCCTGCTCCTCCGCCTGGTCGTCATGACTTCTGTCGTCGCATCGCCAGGTTCATCTTATTTCAGTCTTGGTTTCGATTCTCGTCTCAATCTTCAAGCTTTGACGCATTCTCGTCCTTGCCCTCATCGTCTTTGTTGTGACGCCTACTTCCATATCACCACCAGCCCCAGCGTCGTCATTCCTGTCTTCATCGTCCTCCCCATCTCGATCTGCACGCTTTTCTAATTTTCCTACCACTTGTGCACACCCAAATTAAACAGAGTCCTTCTGGCCGGCGTCCAAAGAAGATCTGAAATCATTGAGGTCCTGACACGAAGGGCTTCGGGATCAGATGTGTTGCTTGCCGTGTGAGTTTGCTAGCTGCCAGCTGCTTTTGGCAGGACATGCTCTCCAAGCTGTCGGTGTACGACAGATGACTCTGCTCAAAGCTTTGGGGAGGCCAGGGTTCAAGCCATGCAATCTTTGCAGAAGGCCAAAGGCCGAGGTACCACTCCTTTATGAAAGTCTGGGACATGGCCAGTTTGAGGTCGATGTGAAAGTCTGCTTCGAAGGTGTCTGAGATCCCAGACACCGAACCTGCGGAACTCGCGGGTTTGGTCGGGATAGGGAATCGAGGTCCATGGAATGCTTTGCGTTGCAAAGCACTCATTTGCCTCAGAGTTTGGACGAGATCTTTGCAGACTGTAACTGTCCAAGATGGGGGCCGCATCCTACTTAGGAGTTGTGATCTTGAGATGTAGGATTGCCTGGGGCATGCTGTGTTGTGAGTGGAAATACGCGCGGAGGATGTTTCGCCACGGCGCTAGAGGTGCCAGCCGCATATGCTGGGTGCAGTCTCAGGACGTGTTTAGTTGGACCGACAGTTAAAGAATTTGTAAAGGGCCAACATGGTCCGCAGTTCAGATCTTCGGCATGTGCTGTGAAAGAAGGAAGGGTCGGGATGCCCTGCTTAATTCTGAGGCATCGTATTTTGGTAGCATCGTTTCACAAAGCCGTTGTTGCTTCCGTCCGTGTTCCTTACCCAAATGGGCGAGGCGGAGCCAACGCAGGTTTAGGAGCCTGGCCATTCCCTGTGGAAATGGTATTGCTAACAGCCAGCACGAGAATGCATTGACCAATGCGAAATTTCGTTTCCCGGCGGAACAACACCCCCGCCGAGTGACGTCGACTAAGGTTTTTTGAGCCGCTGAGGTCCTGGTTGCATACGCAAGGAAGGGTCACAGGCGTGGGCACCACTCCCGAAATGGAGCGGATGTCAGATTGGAAGGCCTACACAATGCAGCTCACCGGTTCCAGACTTGTAGGGTTTTGGAGGCGTGCAATCTAGTTTCGACTATCAAATCTATTTAATACAATCTTTCGCGTCACCGGTACGGTAGGTCAGTAGTGTTCAGAATTAAAAATATGCAGTTCAAGGTCTTGGGCAGAGCAGCTTGCAGACTGCTGGGACTGGTGAAGCTGCTCCTCTTTCTCCTGGCCAAAGCTTCCGCCAAGAGATGGGAAAAGATTAGAACCACCCCGTCACACGGCCCCTTCGGATATATTATATATTCGTATCAAAAATCAAGATGGTACGTTGTTTTTGTATCTTCCCCAAACGGGGCGACTCATAAACATATATCATCATATATCCACCGACACACACCCACGTGCTGTAAGGATTCGGTACTGCATGCGAGTACAATGCCCGTGTGTATTCGGAAATAGTCTTCTGCGCTTGAAAGACAAGCATTACTTGCACGCTGGCATACCGCGTTGTACAGGATGCTGTTCGATCCTTCGCTCCTCTGTGCTTTCCATGCCGTATACTGCTCCTGCGTGCTAGGCCACATACTGCTCTGCCGACATTTGCAATATTCTACCTCGCAGAAGCCTATGTCGCGACCTGGTGAGATACAGCAAAGCAAAAAGCAAGACAACACAGCTGGCTGCATTACCATATGACAGGCAGCTCTGCAGCGTAGCGCGGCATGTGATAAGAAGCTTATGTGTTTCTTGTTTCCTTACACCCGCTCCCTCACTGTTACATGTAAGTCGTTCTTTTAAGCATGGCGCAAGTCGTTAGGAACCATGGCAAAGGTATCACTCCAGCGTCGCAACATGTGAGATTGTATGGCAACTGTAAAGCTTGCAGCAAAACGGCGCAAATCAGCTCGCAGCAGAACCTAGCACAATCTGCTGGACAAAGGCTGCGCTCATTGTCCAAAGGTCCTGAACAGTGTCGCCAAGCGCGGGAAAGACGCGACAGAGCAGGATCCCCAATTACAGGGCGCCGTTGGAGCTGTCCTGTGCTTCGTACATCCATGCACTGCTCAGAGACAGCCTCCTCCACCGCTCGGCTTGAGGTTTCTTCGTCTGATTTGTGCCAGGAGTGTGCATCTCAGCAAGGGTAAGGTTGTAGGATGAAGGAGTGACGGCGGCATACTGTCTCGTGGTGGAGCAATGCGGCTGCTCCTTGCGATGCCCATGTGTGCGGTTCTCTCTAGCTACCATTTCGATTTTGATGCTGCTGTATCTGCTTCTCTAGTATTGTCACTTTCTGAGGTCAGAAGATCATACTAGCAGCTGTGAAAGGTCAATATGCGAATCACTATTCTCGAGAAGCCTCGCTTGCATCTAATGGGATGGCAACGACGACACTTCGGGATGAGAGCTCCACCTTGTGCCAGAAACCCTGCTGCAGAAACGATTCAGACTCCTGAGCCTTGCACCCTGGAGAAACAGAGCCCTCAACCGCTGGAGGCAGATGGCCGTACGAGCGTCAGGAGCAGTTGAGGAAGGGACTGTCGGGACTGCTTGGGGGGCCCAAGTGTGGTTCTGAAAGTTACATTCTGAGTACTTGACCATACGTTCCCCTGAAATTTGCAAGGCAGTGTTTCTGCCTTTCGGCATTCCAGACCTTCGGCTTCCCCTGTCAGGCCTCTCCTGGATGCCCTGGCGCGAGCGCGGCAGATTGACCCTGCCGCGCACAATTGGTGGCCCCGAGCCGAGCATTCCACTACAACAACACACGAAACCCTGAACGAAAATGCCACGAGCACATGGGGGCAGCCCTGGTTTCCGAGTGGTCTTTTGGTGGCTGGTGGTCTCGAGTCTTCTCGGGATTTTGGGTGGTCTTTCAGGGGTTTCTTCGTGGAATCATAGTGGTCGTGGTTGGTGTCAGTTGGTGTCCTCCTCATCGTCCTCGTCGGCAAGCTGGGTTTGGTTTCTTCACCGTACTTCACTCTTTGGGAACCTGCTGGCATAATACATCAGTTTATGTGGCCGGCATCGACAGCGAAGGCACAACTCCCTTGCCATGCTCTGTTCAATGCCAGTTTCTCAAAATTGCTAGCTGAAGAAACCATTGTACAAAAGATTGAGCTCGAGTTTCATCGTGGTACATCGTTGCATCATTGTATCTTGCGGATACGGGGCCTTGCTATGGGTACAGGAGTGTACTGCCCAGAAGTTTCTTGCTTAAGTTGTTCTATTTGCGTGCTGGGCTTTGCTGAAGCATGTTTCCTTGGACGCGGAACAAGGCGTCCTGCTTCAAGTGGTGAGGGCAGCTGCTTCGCAGGTCTTGAGTGAGCAGGTATGAAATTTTGAGAGCATTCGCTGGGGATGGATATTTCTTTCTCTGTTGGTCGTGCAAGCCCAGGGCGTACGTGAATCCTGAGCATCAACATTGCATAGAGCAGGCGCCATCCGCCGTCACAATGCAGGGCTTTCAGAGTTCCAGGGCTTGGAAAACTGCATCTACAATGAGCTGCAGCGATCGAATTTGACAGGTTCACTTCCAGCTATGAGCTGCTTTTGGGTTGGGAAAGAAAGTTCACATCGATAATTCGTAAAGCTTACGGCCACCGTGCATCCATTCCCAACTGCGTGAGGCAGTCTCTCCCCCTTGGTGCCAGGACAGCTTCCGGGTCATCATGAGCGAGTACCTTTGCTTAACGGCTCACCTTGAGGTGCGAGGGTTTTTTGATCATACTGCTGCCAGCTTCTGATGTCAAGTGTCCACGAGTGATGTGCTAAGCATGCTGCTGATATGCCGCAGCATGAGCTGTGCATGTTGGTGAAAAGTGTATGCGATCAGGTAACATGTGCTTTCAACCAGTCCAATGTTTCCGTGCTTCAGACTGGTTGCCTCAACACCACTTTCATGCGGAATTCGGGAGGCAAGGGCTACCCGACTCCTCGAATGTGAACAACACCATAGGATACGGCATCGTTTGCCGAAAGACAGCGAAGCATCGGGATAGGCAAAGTATGTCAGCAGAGCCGTAGCTGTGCGGATAAACTGAACTTTTTCGCACAAAGCAGTAGGACCCAGGAAGGAGAAGCCGAAACACAAGCATCAGAAGAACGAGGATGTTCTTTAAGGCAAGAACGACATGTGAACAGCAAGACGAGTATGAAGTACAGCCACGTCACGTATGGGGAACATTACACCGCATTTTCCCGTGGAGGTGTGATCAGATTGTACAAGATCGATAGCCAAGACCGAGGCCTAAATCCTAAATCTCGGTGGTGAACAGCGGCAGTTTGCTGACTGTACAACCCACGACAGATAGCTTCCAGCCAGAAGGGGTTGTGGAGCTTCCCAGAGTATAAGCGAAGCTTGAAGCAGGTCTCACAGTCACTTTTCGTGGTGTTGACATGTGCTTGGAAAATTTGGTCAGCGGACCATGTCTACACCTGCCCCGCATGACGGAATTACCGCAGTTCAGCTGTGGCCCTGCCGACGCAAAAGACACCCTTGTGGTTCTTTTTACATCTTATCTCACGTTACATCACATGTCTCCTTGGTGGTGAGAGTCGAAATGCGACTCCTCGGTTACACACACACACACATATATATATATATACACATATCTATATATATATATATGTAGATATATATATGTAGATATATATATATATATATATATATATGTATATGTATATATATATATATATATATATATATAGGTATATATATATATATATAGGTATATATATATAGGTATATATATATATATATGTATATATATATATATAACCTGGAGAGGCCGTGGACTTCGCTGACGGTCGCATCAGCGAGGCCCACTGCCTGAGATGCCCGGGCCCCAATCACCGGGGTGGCTGAAGGCTTGGGCTCTAGGAAGGTGTAGGGTGTGGCTTAGGGTTTGGGGCTTAGGGTTTAGGGTTTGGTAAGCAGGATTTCAGACTCTTCTTGGTGTCTGTGCAGCAAATTCAACCCCAAGCCCCGCAGAAACATGATCATCAGTTGTAGGTGCGTCAATTTTCTTTTTTGAACGTGGGGAGCATGCATTTTTACTGTCTAAAGCCGGTCTGTGTTCTGAGAGTCTGGGGGTGTGTTTAGCGTCCAACTTCTTCAAGCAGCCGGTTTCGCTTGTGGGGCATAGGCCTCTTGTTGGGTGGCGCAGCAATACTTTTTAGTCGATTTGGAGGAGGGAGTTAGCCCGTGTTCGACTAAGAATGGTCCAGGGTTCAGAATGGTAGGATTGCTTGTCATTGCTCATCTGCGAAGAAATCCGCATGTGGTTCTCATCCTGCAGTTGCCCCAGGGTTTCCGCTGATCGCGGAGCAAGCAAAAAAAGCTTTGCAGTTCCTTTCCGGGCCCCAGGCTGCCAGACTTGGCGCCTTAGCCTAGCCAAAGCACTGGGCCTGTGCGGGACTCATGCTTCCTGTGGCTTGGGCCTGCGAGTACTCGCACACTTCAGTCGGAACAAAAGCCGGGGGCAGCTAGCCCAGGACTGTGGGCTCGTGGAGTTTGCGGTAATGTCAGCTTGGTGCGATCACGACATGTTCCCTGGGACTCACGGTTCTATGTTTCAACGAGCAGGCCTCGCCTGGTGTACCCGGTCTGAGCATGGAAACGCGGTACCCCAAACTGTGAGAGTCCAAAGAAGTCTCTAAGGCTTCGGACATCTGGCGGCTTCACGCTGACTACCGTCTTCAGCTCGGGGAAGAGTAGGCGATAGTAGAAGCCTGTGTTCCTTGCCGCCTGGGCCTGACCTGAATGTGGTGTTGCTTGAGATGTGCTGCGCTTCGTCCATGACTCAAAAACGCGGGGCGAAAGGGGAGTGTGGTGTGCATGGTTTGCAATGCAGCATGCGTAGCGTCTCCTCGAATGCTCGACGGATGCGGAGCAAGACCAAGTGCCTCGAATGCTAGTGACACCCCAAACACACCGGCGGAGTTTGAGCATTGGCTTGAAAGCATAGTTGTTGACATTCCACAGACGGCCAGTGGATGCCGCTACAGCAAGCCACATCAACGATGTGAGGTCAATGGGGACGCCTCCAAGAGGTACGTCACTTGAGGCTCCGACTGAATACCGGTTTTCCACTTCCTATGACTGGCCTGGTTGCTTCCAAGCTTGTAGGATTTGTTGACTTGAAGCCACAGTCCAGGCCAGCCAAGGCCAATACCTACCAAGCCTTGCAGGCTCACTCTCTCTGGCCTGCAGGGTGATCATTTTCCAGTTTACCAGAGAGGTCGGAAGCAGGAGATCGTCAAGCCAGTAGCATGAAGCATTGCAACGTGAGGCTTCCGACAAATGCCAAAAGCTGAATGGTCTTGTAGGCAGCGCTGAGTTCCTTCAACGTCTCGAAAGCGAAAGCCACTGCCGTAAGCCAAAGCCCCTTGCCAGCGGAAACTGGATTGCCGGCATAGACCTGGCTGGATAGAGGCAAAAAGCCCTGAAGAGCGAGACTCTCTTGTCTCGGAAGCCTCTTCACAAAAACTTCCAAATTTCTTGCAGGCAAAAGTCGTCCCATGCCGAGCCGAGCGTTCTGCAACTGTGTCGTTCATGTACAGGCCATGCAGAGTCCCGACATCTCCGCCACATGACGGTAGCCAGCCTGCGAGTCGAAGAGCGTGTCACAATCTTCGCCTCGGCCTTTGTGGTTTGCATGCATGGGCCACTGAGGTATGACTAACACCACGACATGCGACAAATATGTTGAGTGTATAGCTTCTGGTTCGTACTAACGAGAACAAGAGGCATTATGATGATGCTTCCTAGCTCGCCATGTGTCTTGCAATCTCCAAAAGCCCAACCTTCTATGCCGTCCAAGAGTGACCCGGTCGAAACCCAAAAGCCTTTGACGCCAGGCCCCCGGCCCCAACGAGATCCCTAGTCCAGTGTTGCATTCAGCGAGACAGCGCTGCTTTCAAGTGGAGCCGCCGCCCGATTGCCAGCGGGTCTGCCTCTGAGCCGGTGTTCTCTCAACGCCAGCGGGTTTCCATGATTTTCACTGGCATTTTAGCTTAGCCGTGTCTTGGGGCTCCCATACCCTCTGGCGGTTTATTATTTGGGATGTTGCGGGTCGTGGTGGTTGGGGTGCACTTGCGTACACGTGGGGGGCGCCGGTGATAATGACAATATTCGGAAAAAAGCAACATCCGACAAGGAGCCTATCTTCCAAGGCCCGGACATTCCCTGTATGTCAGAACCTGCGACATCCCGGACCCGAATGCCGAGGCCGAGACCTTCTTTTGCCATGGGCATCAGGCGGCGAAAGGCAGCGAAGGGGCCTTCGGTCTCTGCAAACGCCTGGACTTCCGAAAAGCTCTTGGAAGCTAAAGCAAGCTCCCAACTGAGGAGGCCATGGGTTCCTCATTCTAAATATATTCCCCAAAACTCCATTCCAATTATTAACGCCCCCATCACCACCCCCGACGCGGGAGCATCACCATCGATTCCATGTGGTGATTTCGACCTGGACCGGTTTGGGCCATTGACAGCTACCTATGTTTCTTTGGTACAGTATTCCTGTTGTATGAGTATGGCTCTCTCCCTCCCTCCCTCCCTCCCTCCCTCCCTCCCTCTCTCTCTCTCTCTCTCTCTCTCTCGCTGTCGTTGCCTGTTGCTTGTGGCCAGTTGGAAAGAGACTGCTTTGAGTTTTTTTCCGTTTAGCGGCTGGCTTTTACGCCTCGACAGAGCTTAAAGCAGACTTGCCAAAAGGCAGTCCTCCATCACAATCACAGCTGTCGTTGTTCCTGCTTCTTTTGCTTGTGAAAGCGCCAATCTAGCATGCTAAGATCCACTCCGTCCAAACGAGCAACTTGCAATTACGTGGGGTCTGATTCGCGAGATCACCAGTTGCAAGCTTGTGGCGTGCATGCACGCGTGTGTCATGGCCACAGATCTCTGGGAATAGGGACCTGGGCCACAACAGAAACACCAAAATACCTGGGAGCTCGAAGCCCGAAGTGTCGCTGTGGGAGGCCGATTCGTGCCAGAGTGGACGGGCCACTCTGGTGATAGCCGCAATTCTTAGTGTGCGCCATCTTGTGGTTGTGGTCGACTGCTTCAGCTTTCTCGGGGGATTGGGGCTCAAGGGTTGCAGGCTTCTGGTGCCTTTATCGGCATTTCGTTGTGACGGTTACTCTTCTTGAGTGGGTTCAGGCTGCCAAACGGGGTTCTCCGGTTATGACTGTCTGGCTTCCGGCTCGTTCAACACCCACTTGTCTCTGGCTGCATGAACTGACAGCGGACCGGACAATCGGCTGTGATTATTCTGGTTGTTTCCCTTCTGACCGAAGGCCTTTATGCGTCCCTGTGTTGCTTCTTTGGCTTAAGGGCACGGAGCATTACTCATGACTCATGAATGCAATTCTTCGTGTCTTTTGCCATGCATGTGAGTGTACGTACCGAAGGGCCCTTGAGCTGTTCGAGTAAAACAGTGCGGTAGTGCATCCCGCTTTTGAGCCCATTGGGCGTTGCGAAACATGGACCTTCTGTGAACCAGGCTCCAACTACTTACAATCTGCGCTGTGTGAACCCAGCTGATTGCATTGGTAGCGTGTGCGAGAAAGATCACTCATGTCGCAGCTTGATGACACGGGTGTTGAGGGCGAAGATCTTGGAGACCTCCAGGACTTCGTCGATGGAGTGACCGACGGTGAGGCAGCTGAAGAAGAGCAAGAAGAAGAAGAGGAGTCGGAACCCGTGGACCCATGGGCCGACTACTATCGTGAAGATGAAGAACTCGTGCCGGAGCCCGCCCGTGGGGGTTCTCTTGCCAGAGGACGACAAGGACTTCGAGCGGGCCAAGCTGAGGGTTCTCCGTCTACACGTTCGACTTCTTCCGCTAAGGCTAAGCCGGCTGCTGGCGGTCACGACAAGGACAAAGCGCAGCGGCGCCCGAGAGGCAATCTGCCTCCCGCGCCCTCTTTCGACGGCGACCGTCGGAAAGACCCGAAGTGCTTCCGCAAGTACGCGTCCAAGGTGGACTCCTACGTGGAGATAGCCAAGAATATCATCGATGACTCTGAGATAGGTCTTCGGCTGCACGCGGCTTTGGACGGCGAGGCGTCGGACTGCTTGGAGGACATCCCCGCCCGGACCTTCGGCGTGGAGAACGGCTGGCAAGTGTTGCTTAAGCTCCTCAAGGACAAGTTCGACGAGAAGCGGATGCACAAGGTAGGGTCTGCCATGAAAGGGTTCTTTAAGCTCGGCCAGACCCTCAACGACAAGGCGTACACCCTCGTGGAAGTGATCGACCTCATGGATAAGGCAGCGAGGCGTTGCAAGGAAGCGAACCTCACCATCCCCGACGAGGTCATGGTCTACTTCCTCTTCGAGCACACGGCCATGTCGACCGAGAGGCAGGCGAACCTTTTGCTGCGCACCGGTGGGGAATACCACTGGAAGAAGATGAAGCAGGCCGTGGAGCTCCTCTACCAAGGCGTGGTGGTGCGGGGAAACCGAGACGGCCGAGATGGACGTGAAGCGCCCGGTCGTCGGCAACGAGCTGCACATGAGGCACATGTTGACTACGGGGACCTTAAGATTCCGGCAACGACAGCATCCGACGAGCAGATCCAGACCTGGATTGCCGACTACGACCCCATCGAGGCTCTTGCTGAGGCTGACGTGGAAGAGCTGCCCGAGGAGGTCGCTCGTGAACTCCATGAGTGCTTTAGCACTCACCGGGAGAACCGTCAGAGACTGTCGAAGGCGGTTCAGGCAAGAGGGTTCTACGTCAATGCCGGTGGCAAGGGCAAGGGCAAAGGATCCAAGGGTGACGCCGGGAAGGCCAAGGGCAAAGGCGGCACCAAGGGCAAGAAGGGTTCTGGGAAGGCTCGTGGCATGACCCTCGAAGAGTTGAAAGCCAAAACTGCTTGTGGAGATTGCGGCGTCAAGGGTCATTGGCGAGGCGATCCCGAGTGCAAAATGAAGCATGCACACGAGGCCACACGTACCGAGGCCGACGACGCAGAGAATGAGGACTGGTACGGCGAGTACACCGAGGACCAGTGGCACAGCTGGGAGGCGAACCGCTACGGCTACGCGACCACCCGCTTGGCGCACACTACTTCGTCCTCGACTACTACGAAACGATCGCCGGCTTCCTCTTTAACCCAGGCTTCCGGGGACTTTGCGCAGGCCGAGGCTTCCTACATTGCCCGTGGCGTCAACAGAGTGATGCAAAAGGCGGCGGGTGGCACTGCTACGCGAGGCACCGTGACCTCCGAGCAGGTGAAGGACAAGCTCCAGTCGGACAGCTACCAGGCCGCCGAGAAGCTGAAGGAGCAGATCGCAGCGGCCAACAAGCCGCGGATGGCCCAGAGCACGACTTTGGACAGTGTGCAGGCCGCCTTCCAGCAGCTCGGCATCACTCTGCATGAGCCGGCGGGCAAGACTGTGCACCAGCTGCTTCAGGACGATTCGACCCCGGCGGTCGATGTGGACACTCTGCGGCGACCTCAGGCGGCGGCCAGCAAGCCCGAGCATGAAGCGCATGGAAGGATCTACATGACGGGACGACAAGCCAGGCATGTGGACTTCGATCCGGCGACGCCGGTGCCCAGGATGGTCAAGAGCAATATGCGCCGAAAGGCCACCGTCGAGGATGACCGCTGTTACCTCACTTTGGACACGGCATGTGAGAATACGGTGGCCGGGACCACCATCCTGCAGAAGATTGCGGTGCACCTCGGGAAGCATTGCAACTTACAGGCCTTGGTCCACCCCGAGAATGAGGCTTACTGTTTCGGCCCGGGCGCTCCTATGCCCTCTTCGGAGCGATGGTCTGTGCCTATCGGTGTGTTGGGGCAACCTTCTGTGATCTGCACGTCTTCGGTGCAGGACCACGACTGCCCCAAGATCCCGTTCCTTGCAGGCCAGGACTGGATGGTCTTCATGAACGCATGTGTCGATGTTGGGCGGCACGTGGCTGTGCTGCGGGAGCTGGGCGTTCAGACGCCTTTATTCATCGACCACACCGGGCATTTGGTGATCGCCATCGATGAGATGCCCCAGGACGGCTGGCCCGCGGGGCTTGTTGCGAGGAAGAACGGCTATCCTGGAGTGCTCTTCGATAGGTGTGCTCGTGACGTTCATGCCGCAACCCAGCCGTCGGAGAAAAAATCGGAAGTCGCTGTCGAGTTTGCTGACCTGAACTTTGCAACCACGCACTACTATGAGCCCAATCCTAGAGAGCGTTTGCCTTGCACTGTTCCGAACGACTACTGGCAGTACATGGTCGATAAAGGGGTATATGTGCGACATCATGTCAGGCCCCGGTGCGACCTCTTCGTGCCCAACGACACCAAGGACGGCCCGGACACAAAGGACCTGCAGCCCATGAGAGTGACCGTCATGTCATGTTCCGAAGAACCTGTTTGTGACGATTGGGTAGCTAACGGTTCTGCTCGCGACTGTGATCCTTGGGTTGGGGCTACTTACTTCTTCGGCAAAGGCGCAACCCTCGGCCACACCAACTTCCCTCCGGCCGCGGACCGCGTGGCGATCAAGCTGCACGACGGAACTCAGCTCGAGGCCCGCGCCGGTGAAGTGAGGGATGCTGCTGCTAAGAAAGTACATCACTTTGATTTGTCTTCGAAGCAGTGCTTGGATGTGCCTTCTTCAAAGCGCAAGGGTCAATTTGTGATACCTGTGGGTGAGTTTGGCTGTGAGACTCAGCATCCGCAGAACGCCTTAGAGCCCCATGCGGAAGCTCAACCCCAAGGCCAAGCAACAGGTGATCGAAGCATGGGGCCGACTGGCCGAAATGCTGACGGACGTGATGGACCTGGCCGAGCGCTACACCCGGGTCCACGAGGTGATGCGCTGGGCCAAACATCGGCGACCAGCGCTGGTGGCCTACGCCGAGGCGATCATTGCGCAGGAAACCCTGGTGGACACCATGCCGGCGACAGCACCACCAGCGACGACGAAGCCACCCGGACAGATTCCAAGGCTGGCGAAGATGCCGTACCCCAAGAAGCCCGACAAATGCATGCATCCACCGGACGTGGCGCGACGAATGGGGAACCAACATGGTCGGTTCCAGGAGTGTTTGCAGTGCGGCACGGTGTGGAAGGGCGTGGTGTACAAGGTGCCGATCAGCCACGAGGAGGTGCACGTCTACCCTCACCTCCATGGGATCAGGGACCGGCCGGGCGGGAAGATCGTAGCACCCAAAGGAACATCCGCCGCGCAGGGCAAGGAATCCTTCAAAAAGCTCTCCGACTGCTACTCGTCCTCGCCGGCATCCACGGCCTCAACTTCGAAGGCGGCGACATCGGCACGGTCGGAGGCGGCCAACAAGAAGGGGCGAGCTTCTGCGAGCCCAACGCCCGCGAGATCTTCGGGATCCTCGGAGGCAGTGGATCTGAAGGCTTTGAGCCCCGAGGAGCGCGAGAGGATCAAAACGGAGGCCGCCAGGCGACTCGAGGCCAAGCGTCGCCAAAAGGCCAAAGAGGCCCGGGAAGCACGGGAGGCAGAGGACGCAATCATGGACGAGGAGCGCCTGGACCGCATCGAGGCGGAGAAGCACATGGCGAAGACCGCGGTGAACCAGGTGAAGCTCGAGTTCGCGGACGACCCCGAGGCGACGGACGACAGCGCGGTGCTGGTGAGCTCGGCGGACGAGAACCTTTGAGTGTTCGGCTACGTGGCGGCCAGAGCAGGCGGATGCTAAGTGGAGCCAAGCAAGCCCTGGAGGCATCGAGATTGCATCGCTCTGTTGTGGAAGCCAGGCTGGATGGCTGCGCCCGGCCTCGGCACAAGTTCGAATACGACATTGTCGAGGTCCTGGGGGGCGACAGCTATGTGTCGGTGCGAGCGGTAGGTCATTGGGGGCTGCGAGTGCTTCAGCCCATGGACCTCCGTTCCGGGTTAGACCTGAGGAAACCGTGGTTCCCAAGCTGGTTGCGCGAGGCGCTTGGGAAATGGTCGGCACGACTTGTCGTCTTCGAGATCCCGTGGCCCTCCTTCCAGCAGCTCGACCTCTACGGCAACGGCGGCGACCCGTACCACGGCTTCAAGGAGC